AAAAAAAAAAAAAAAAAAAAAAAAAAAAAAAACTAACTTTAAATTCATCATACATGAATAAAAAACGATGCCGATGTTTCATAATCATCATGTAGGGAGATACTTTAAGTTCATCTACCAGCAGTAACTCTTTTAAGTGAATATCATATTCTGCGAATAATCTAACGTAGGTTATAAAAGCAATGTTTCTAGCATGAGTTAATTCAGTAGGGCAAAACCATCCCTGTGACCTCTCAGTAGCATCTTTCAAACACAACGACCAAGACACTGAAGAAGAACAGTCAAAAAGTTTATCAAGTCAGAAATGCAAAAATTAAGTGTAGATTGCATATGGTAAACCGGAACACATGATAAAATATGTGAAATCTGGAATGGTAGTATTACTCCCTATATCACAAACAATATCAAAAAATCTCTACGTTATAACCGCATTCTTAAGAAAATGAAATTTTCAAACAATTTTTTAAAAGTGCAGCTTGAAGTGCGCTTGAAATTTGAAAGTGTCAAATACGAGTAAGGGTGTGATACTCGAAAATTAAAAGTTCGATTGAAGATTCAGAAACAATGAAGCTTCAGGCTACTGGAGTCGTTAGGGATATTAACTTATGCTAAATGCAAATCAAAAATCCACTGATAAAGAATCATAAAAACTTTAATTTTTTTCTAAGTTAAATGACCTCAAGCTAACAACGTATAATACCCCTTGCTGCAGTTCCTTCTACAGATTATGTAGTACTTCAGTTTAGGCCAACTTTTTAATCGACTCTTTTTTGCCAATACTTTAAAGTTAATACCTGTGTTGGGGGTAAAAGATAAGACGACCTTCAACATCTCCCTAAAACTAACAACATTAAGAAGGTGGTCGCTACCTTCCATAACGCGAGCGGTAATATTGACTGCACGATTGTTAGAAGCAAACGACCTAAAAAACAAATTTTAACTAGTGGGTAAATTATTTGAATAAATACCTCAATACTAGAAAAAAGAAATACAAATGAAAGCATAATTGCGCATGAAAAAAACTGGCTGATCAAAGAAGGGTTGTCTCTCGATAACAAAAAATAACTTTCATAGAACGAAATAAAATTAATCATGAGTAACTTGTTAAGAACTAATAGCTTTAATAGAAGGTGGGCAGAATGCCGACAAAGCAGACTAGCAAAAACCGTAGGCTCAGAAAACAAGCCAAACAGGATAATTTTAATTATCTTTAAACTCGGCCTCATTCAGCTCAAGTTTCAACTTTAAAAGGCTAAACCAAGCTCTATAACGTGACGAAAAACCAACGAGCAAGTTCCTTACCTTTAACTTCCCCAAATTAGGAGCCATTTACAGAATCTCTAAAAAATATAAACGTGAAAAGAAATCCACAAAATTTTTTCCTGCTAACAGTTATTCCTTTCATTAATTTTTCAAAACCCTGGCTTTCTCGAGTTTCCCAAACTGCCAAAAAATTGTAAAATTCGTTCGTGTTATATGACCCAAACTAAAATTCAGCTTAAATGAAACTGGATTTGAATAAATGGCACTCTAACTTATGCTAAAAACTTCAAACCAATTTCTGAACTTCAAATTCCGGTAAAAGTGACTATGACTTTACTGTTTAATCTAAACAAGGTCCCAACTCATCTAGCAAAACGGCAACGAAAAAAACAACAGAAGAAACTGAGAAAGTAACTTTCAGTGCCATACCTGCATGCTACCAAAATGGTCAAATAAAATAATGCTTGTCTCATCAACTTAAAAAAATAGAACTAAAACGGCTACTAAACTAAATGACTGAGAAACACGACAAGCAGCAAAAGAAGATACAGTCTTAAGCACAAATTAAGTTATTTCATAAAAACTGCACCAGAATAATGTACGCAGCAGTGAATTAGATTAAATTGACAAAAGAATGAGAATAACCCAAAAAAGATTTGAAAATAGAGCGTGAAAGGCTAACCAGAACACTCAGACAAAGATGAAATTAGTTAAAATCT